CCCCGTCCAAGAACCTCAGCAGAAAGAGCAGGAGACCAGCCATCACAGGTCAGTACGAGACCAGTAGCTGGACTTTTAGTAAAGAAGTTCCTTTTTGGCCTAAGGCCACTTAGGGTCTGCTGGTCAGCAGGTCAGCGGCCTCTCTCCTAGGAGCAGTGAGCTGAGACTGAAGGAGCCAAGGGCCTGGGCCAGAACCCTTAGTCTAGCTGAAGTGAGTGGTCCCCACTGCTGCCCCCCCCCTCCGCCCCTCGGGCCCTGACAGAGGTGGGAAGAATTGATTAGAGGAGGATGAGGATTTCTGGGGTCATGTGGCAGGCGCTGTCCTGGGCTTCCTGGGGCCAGAGGCTACCGCAGGAAAGGCCACAGGACTTGGTGGTGGTCTCTGACACAAGCACTGCCTCTCTCCATTCCCCACAGGGCCCACGCACCTGCTGTGGCCCCCAGAGAGGGCATCAAAGACCCTCCTGGGCCATGGTGGGGGCTCCCTGCAGGAGTAGGAGGGGGTCAGGGTACATTCTTCCAGGCAGGGCTGGACCCAGTGCTCTTCACCAGGTGAAGAGAGGGAGGGGGAGGGAGAGACGGGGGAGGGGAGGAGCAGAAGGACAGGGAGAAAGGGGAGCGGGCGGCGGAGCTGACCGTCATGTCACTCTCTTCTGTGCATCTGCTAGGGTGGCCTCAGGAGAAAACAGAACCCTCTGCCAGACTTTTGGTGAATGTTTTTTCAAATTGGTGGAGTATGATTTTACAGAACAGGGGTTCTTTCCTACAGGTGCATGGCATCGCGTGCTCATCCTCCTTCCCCACCCTTCCGTCCCCTCCCTGCTTCCCAGCCATTTCTCCCCTCCACTGTTGCCATCACTGCATGTGCGGGTGGGGGCTCCGAGGGGTCTTGGCACCCAAGACAGCAGAATGTGCTCCTGTCACCCCCAGGGGGCCCACGCCCCCTTCCTCCTCACCCTCAGTTCCCTTCCTCAACCGGTTCCCCGTCTATTTTCATGAGATCCCCTTTTATTCCTCTCCCCCTCTCTCCAGAGTCTGCATGTGAAAGAAAACTTCAGCCCTGGACTTTGTGAGTCTGGCTTATTTCACTCAGCACCACGTTCTCCACTCCCACCCATTTTCCAGCAGATGCCTCGACTTTCTTCTTTAATGCTGAGTGAGGCTCCATGGTGTGTGCCGCACTTTCTTTACCCATTCACCTGTTGATGGCCCGGGCTGGTCCCGCAACTTGGCCACAGTGAATCAGGCTGCCAAGAACTTGGGTGTGCAGGCGTTGCTAAGGGGTGCTGTTGTGGTTCTTTTGGATGAACTGGGGAGTGGGCTGCCTGGGTCGTCTTTGGGGGAACCACCCAGCTGGTGGTGCATCTTGGTTTTAAGCCCATCGACGCCAGCCTGGCCTGCAGGTATGGGGCGCTCAGATCCTGCCTCTCCTCTCCTGACACCCCTCTGGGCCTCCCAAACACGTGATGTCCCATGTCATGGTCTGGACTCTGGAGCCTGCTTGCCAGTTAGGCACATGGACAGAGTGTGGCCCATGGCACTCCCAGAAGCCCTGAAATGCTTTCGCTTCTCTTAGAATCAGGAGAACATAGGCGCCTGGGTCACGGGAGTGTTCCGCCCCCAGCACAGCCTGCTGGTCCTCACGCTGCGCCACCCTCACGCCAGCTTCCCACGCACTCCCAGGGGCTGGAGGCGGCTGGGCTTCCCTCCCATCCTGCGCCCCAGCTCCTGTCGAGTCTCAGCCTCAGCCCTGGTCCTGGGAGGGCCTTCCAGTCCCCCAGGTTAAGTCGAGTCTCTGAGACTGTGGTCGGTGTCACAGTGCCCACGACGGGAACTAGCACAGCAGGGTCATCATCCTGCATCTATGGGGGCCAGGGGTCCAAAGCCAGGAGTCCACAGGGCTGGCCTCCTGGAGGCTCTAGGGAGCATGCTCCTGCTGCCGACTGGACGTGGTGTCCTCAGGTCCACAGTCAAAGCCTCAACCCAAGGAGATGCATGGGGAGGTGGCCTTCAGAAGTGACAAGGGTCAGGCGAGGCCATGGCCCCATGGTGGGCTTGTGCCTTGCAGGAGGGGAAGAGACCAGTGTCCTCTCTGCCTGTGTGGACTTCAGGAGAAGGTGGCCCTCAGTGGACAGGGTGCCCTCATCAGGAGCAGGACGCCGGTCCTCCATCTTGGACTGCTGGCCACTAGAACTGAGAGGCTGGGAGTGAGTGGGGTCTGCCCCAGCCCCTGGTGATGGCCTGAAGGCCCTGAGGGATGAGGCTTGATCCTGGCCTCCTCTTCCTGGCGCTGCTGGCTACCGGCTGCCCCGCGGTCCCTGCCGTCTGCCCTTGCCATCTTCTCCCCTGCCCGTCTGCCATGTCCTCTCTCGGAGGCAGCAAGCACTGGTTTCCTGCAGCTCCTGTGACAGTGCCATCGAAGGGGGCTCAGACCACCGAAGCCGGCAGGCTCGCAGAGCTGGAGGTGGAAGTCCAGGGCCAGGCGTGGGGCCACGCCCTCTGCCGCCGGCCTCGGGGAGGGCCTTCCGGCTTCTCCCTGCTGCGGGTGTGGCCGGCAGTCCCTGCTGTCCCTCACTGAAGGGTGTCTACCCCGACCCCTGCCTCCGTCATCACAGCCCCAGCCCCTGGATCAGGGTCCACCTGCACCACAAGGTGACCTCACCTGGACTTCGCCTGCCCAGGCTCTCAGCCAAGGACATGTGTGGGGTTCTGGGTGGATGGGTTTGGGGGCACCCCACCCCAGGGAAGCCTTCTGCTGTGGTTGTGACGGCCAGTCGTCTTCCCTGCACGGCAGTGGCCACACCTGGGCTGCCACTAGCTGTGGGTGGCCGTGCCCAAGTGTCCTCTCTGGACTGTGGGGAGGACCAGTCCCTCCTCCTCTGTCCATGGTGGCCAGAGCTGGGCAGAGCCTGGGCCTTTGACCGATGGCTGTGTGGACAAACAGGTGAAGTTGGAACACTTGCCGTGCCCTGGACAAAGCCCCTCCAACCCGTGTGGCCCACTGCAGAGCCCCGCCTCCTTTTAGACTTTGCTGACTGTGAGGAGGAGTGCCCTCGGGGCCTGCAGCCTGTCCTCCTGTCTGCGGAGCTCTCCTCCAGCTTGTCCCTCCTGTTGGTAAGTGCCCGGCTGGAGGACTTCGATGTTGCGCGTGCCGTCTGCCTAGTGAAGGCCTCTGTTACTGTCAGCGTGATCATGTCCACGTGCCCACGCCTAAACGGTTCAACACTGAAGCAAATCCACCCCTCGAATCAAAATCCAACCTATTTTCTTTTAATCTCAGAGTTGTCTGTGGCTAGCTGACTTGAAAGACGTTGAAATTGGATAGGTAATTAATTCACAAGCGCCTACAAGAGAGGGGAAGGACGCACAAATTATTTGTAACATTTTGTAAGCACTGAAATTAATGTAGTGTGAATTTGTCATTTCTACCCAAAGTTACAGATTTTCTATATTATAATTTAATCTTTTTAATGTAAAAAGAATAGGAATTTTGCCCTTTCTGGCCTCTCGGGAAGCAAGAACTAGTGTATCTAATTATCTGAACACATAAGAACATAAAGGAATAGCAAGTAGTGAAATTATAAATCGGCCGGAACAACTCCATGTTTTCTGATTAAAGTCTCTTTCTGGGGCCCTTAGCAATCATGTTGCCCCTGTGTTCATAGTAATTGCATGTGTCAAAGCTGAGGCTTTGTGTAAATGGGACGGAGCGAGTTACAATTTTAATTTAGAAGGAGATAACGGCAGTGTGGCTGGCCGCAGGCCGGCAGGTGGGAGTCGGGCGGGAGCGGCAGGGCCGGGCCCCAGGGCGCAGGGGAAGGGCAGGCGGGATCCAATCAGGCCACAGCACAACAGTGGGGTTTTTAAGAAAGGGAAATGCAATTTACCAACACAAAACCGGCCACCTGCTCTCTTCCTGTGCGATCCATGTAAAGGAGGTGTCTAATTTTTTTCATAGCTCCAAGGCAATGAATTTTAACAATGGATACTGTGCTGATGATCAAAATGGTGAGACACTTCAAATGAGATTTTTTGATGTCCTGGAACCTTTGAAACAAAGCACAATTCTGTTTCTAACTTTTAAAATGCTCACCACAGCCAGGGGAGCTGCGTTTCCCAGGAAGCCCGCGTTCTGGTCCAGCACGGAGGCCCATCTTTGGAGCTTCCGGGTGCTGATGGACACACCGAGGCTTCCCTGTGGGTGTGTGGCCTGGCCATGACAG